CCCCCGAGCGGGCGGGCCTGACCCGGCCCGTGTCCCCCGCGTCCCCCCGAGCGGGGCAGCGCTGCGGTATAAGGGGGAGATCAGTATCCGCCTGCGCTTCGCCCTTTGGCACCGGTGACCACCTCTCCCCGTTTGTAAGCCACAGGTGTTCCCTGTCTCCGGCTTCCCGCGGGCTCCTGCTCGCCCGTGCGGGAGTGTTTATAATACTATAATACCATAATACTATAATAAAGCGCGATGCCGTGACCTGGGGTTGGCTCTAGGGATGGCAAAGCGTTCTTCCCGCCGCTTCCCAGGCCCTCCGCGCTCCTGTGGAGCCGGGAGTTGGGTGGTTCAGCCAAACTGCCACTTGCTGGTAAAGATTCACTTTTCCAATCGACTCCTTCCAGACACCTTTCGGCCTCCTTAGAGTGTTCAGCGTCGTGATCCCTTTCCTGTATGTTGGTACTCAGATCAGTAAGAATTTTGCAGCCTTACTTGAAGAACATGATATCTTTGTCCCGGAGGATGACGATGACGATGATTAAAAGGTATATCATTAACTACACCAGCAATCTAATTATTTGTGCTTCCCGTTTRGCTTGGGGCAGGGAGGGGAATCTCAGCCAAGGAAATACAGCCAGCAACAGCTTAAAAAGCGCATTTGCAGTTAAACACACAGACACAGATTTGCCTTTGGCTATGAACTTTTTTGTTTTATATCAGAGTAGGCCAGACTGGTATCTGGCCAGACTGGTGCAATCTCCACACCATGCATTTCTTAGAGACTGGAAAAACTGCATTCGAGTGGAGAAAAGGAGGCTCAGTGTCACACTCTACAATTACCTGAAAGMAAGCTGTAGCCAGGTGGGAGTTGGTCTCTTTTGACCAATAACAAGTGATAGGATGAGAAAAATGGGCTCAGGTTGTGCTAGGGGAGGTTTAGATGGGCTATTAGGAAACATTTCCTCACAGAAAGGGTTGTTCAGCATTGGAACAGGCTGTCCAGGGAAACAGTGGAGTCACATGCCCCGGAGGTATTTAAACTAGGTGTAGATGAGGCACTTAAGGATGTAARAGTGGACTTGGCAGTGCTGYGTTAACAACTGTGACTCAATGAACCTGAAGGTCTTTTMYAACCTAAACGATTCTRTGCTTTTGTTCTGCTTGTTTACCTGTTTWAAAGTCTTCTCCTAATTCACAGAACTACTCTTYTAAAACAAAATTATTTATTGTCTGAAATTCTGATATAGGTGAACAATTTAAAAGAATTCTAGAACCCATCAGAACAAACTGTCTGGTGGGTATTACAGCACTGATCTCTGGAGTAGCTGGACCATTCAGTCTCACTGTAGAAAGGAAGAGTGGAAATAATTCAGCCTTATCTGCACTTTTGCATGCTAGGCTTACTACCATTTTATGTTACTCTGTTTGGCTTGCCCTTGTGTAAGGATTTGAGTTTGGGTGTACTTTATTCTTTATAAGAACAAAGAAACTGTTTTAGAGAAGTTGTTGTAAACAGTGTTGCTTTATAATCAGTTTGGTGGATGTATTCCAGTTGATAAGGGGGTTTTCCAGCATGCACGGTGCAACTATAAACTAAGACTTCAAAGATTGTAGAGACTGCACAGGCCTGTTGGAAATTTCCTTTTATATAAACCCCATAAAGTGTCCTTTTGGGAGGAGGATACAGACTACAGCTCAGTAGTGTATCTGAAGAGTTAACAGCTTGTTTTTCTATTTGCAGCACTGTAACAGAAGAACAGAAGGGAAAAAGCCATTGACAAMACAATGGTTCCAACATCTGTCACCTGTGTTTTGTCCTTCCTAAATGGGACAAGGGGCTCTGTATCCCCTTCTGCCAGTGAGTGTCCCACACATCTCTGGGATGGAAATCTGTAGATCAGGGTTGAAGGAAGTGCTTGAGAGGCCCTGCATCCTTGCACACACACACACACTCACCTCATCCAAGATTGCTTGGGATGCCTTTAATTAGCAACATGGGAAACAATTAAAGATCAAGAGATTGACATGTGCAACTTTGGTCTTGTGTTTTTATACATTGTTTGCCTGTGTCCTAGCATTTCAATCTTAACCTTTCTACCTCTGTATGTGTGTTCCAGTAGGGAGGCTCTCCTCATAGTTCCTTCCTCTTATGAGTCCTTTCAATAGCTCAGTGCTTATCTACAGGACATGAGGAATSCAAGGGGAAGCTGCAGCCCCACAACACAGCCCTGTTAAAGAATGGAGGGAACAATGGCACTGTGGTTCAGCAACCTAGCAGGTGTATCTGATGGGGGCTGTGTTATTACYTTCACCTCACTGAAGCTTAAATGCTATATTGTCATCACAGTGCTAAAAGTTTGAGTGGCTTGGCTAGAAAGTTGAGATCACAAGTGGCAAGTGAACGTGCTCATGCGTTTTATAGCATTTAATCTCTGAACACAGGCTCCAAGTACTTAGTATTTCCAAGGTTGTTCAGTATTTCCTTCTGAAACAGCCCTAACATACTTGTTTTATTAATTGTATACAAACTTTAACTCCTCTTTTCATTGAAATGTTAACTATAGCATTTAAGTCTTTGTCTAATACACTTAAAAGGTATTTTCTGCTGTTACAGCATATGAAGAAGATCTTTAGTCACATCAGACCAGCTGTTTTCTCAGACTGAAACCTTGAGAAGCTGGTCAATTATTTATTTTTAAGCCAGCAATTCACCAGTGTCTCATGGTTTCTGGTCACTAGRTCTTGMCTCTTCTCTTGGCTGCCCACTTTTCTTCATTTTTGGTGTTGCTGTTAAAAGTCWCTTTTAATGTTGCACACATTGGGCAGGGTGTATAGTTCCAACATTATCATGTGCTCCCTTATTCTTTGGCACAGCTTTTCATGTTTGCTCAGTAACTCCAGCATGACCACTGAGAAAAGGGAAGCTGTAATCTKAGTAGAGCTGTAGCTGAAGACAGCTGTCAGGTCTTGAGTCACTTGSTATCTGAATGGCCCCCTCCTTCCCCAAAGCTACCTGAGAAGTGGTTGTTCCAGTTCATCTGCTCTTGGRAATCAAACAYRTACCTTTTCTGTCTTATATGCTGCCAAATTCCTTATTGTCGCTTTGTCCCACAGTCTCTCCTGGGCTCCTCCTGTGTCAACTCTGTCCTTAAAAACATGTCACCCCTGAAGCCCCAAGGTGCTGAGGAGTGCTGTGTTACAGTCCTYCTATGGGGAAGAAAGCCCCAGTATTTAGGCAGGATAAAAAGTTTATTTAGGCTGGATAAAAAGAAGTTTGAGTGTACTACAAACATCCAGTACTGGTTACATCTAGGGGAGCTCCAGCACCAAGTTACCTGCTGAAAACCTCTTCTGATTGGTTAAAGAATAAATTTTCTTTACCCTTCTCAAATGGAATCCAGTAATTCCTGTTTCAYTGGAGGAGGTGATAGTAGGACATTATCTCCTGCTATGCTTCAGAAGCTCTTACAGAGCCTTCCTATTCTAGAAAACAGAGTATAAACCCCCCTTTTTCCAGGTGATTTAATTTTACAGCAGAGAAACAAACTCTGCTKRTATTTTAATGCACAAGGCTTTATTTGCCTATTGGATTTTATATATTCTCTTGAAGAACTAAGGAGACTAGTGTCCAGTAAAAAACACAAGGTCAACAAAATCATAGCATGAAATTTAAAGACACTCCATGAATACAGATAAGCACAAGAATAATTCAATGAGTACAGTGGCTTTTCTGAAGGCCAGCTCTCTTCCTCACAGAGCTACCAGCCATAGATTGGGCTGCAGGCTAAGCACAAAGCCCCACAGCGAAGATGTGTCGCGGTTATTCAGGAAACACGCCAGGGCCAGTGATGGCACAAATGCCATCCACTGAAAATACACACTGGCAAAACTAGGAAATTACAGCTCTTCAAACAGATCATCATTTGCACATGCTCTGGATTCATCTAGTCATTAGGCTCCTAATATGCTAGAGAATCTCTTTGGATTTTTTTTTTTTTCTATTGTATAGAACTTTATTTGTAATATAAGGCAGGAACACACAAAGTCAATTTCTCAGGGATTGTGGCCCGCATAGAATTTGGACAGAAAGTCTTTAGGTTGCGGGGTTTCCGTCTCATGGAAGTACCTCATGACATGAGTCCTCTGYTTCCAGACATGAATGGTTTCTTCAAGCTCCATTTTCCCCTGCACACAAAACAAAAGAATTTTAGACTAGTTTTCAGTTAAGAGCTCAAGTCTAACCACACACTACTATGAAAATGATTTGAATGCACTTAGAAACACCCAAGTAAAAAATAGCTGTATCAACAATTCTGTCSTCCTACAGCCTGCATGCATCAGCTGCACTATGACACAAATAAACCATTCCTGCTTTGGGATTTAAGTTGTTGTCTCTGCAGCACAGCTATCCCCTTCTTAAAACTGCCTTGTTTCTCTCATGACCAGCAACTCCCACAAAATTCTACACAACATTCCTAACTTTGAGCACCTCTACTGAATTTGTGTGAACAAKTGTTTACAGCAACACTTTAGCTGTAAGATACACTGATACCAAGTGCTTTGCATCAGAATCACTGCCCCAGAGATATGTAACTTCTTCATGAGTTCAGTCTTTTGTACTGGTTTTTGTAGGATGGTAGCACAGAGCAAAATRAGAGTGCCTGGAATTGTCACCTGCCATACTATGCAGGATTCTGTTTCTAGATATTTTCATTATGTAAAGACAGATAATTGTCTTCAAATGCAAGAAACCAAAAATGGCAGTCCTTGGTTGAAAGTTTTCTAATGCATTAGTTACTGTTGCTCAGACGCATTCTGAAGCCTGGTGTGCTGATTATTGCTTTGAACCAGACAGATCTCTCAGRGATGTCTCTCTGAGACACAACCAGATGTGTTACACAGTTGGGGTGTTTTGCCACACAAAACCAGCCTCCCACCAAGTACTGACACTGTAATATATGTTTCGGAATCAGTGAAGAAAACCATTTGCCAATGCAAGGAAGTACTATAGAGGGCAGAAAGTTCATTTGTAATAGTAAACTAGCAAGCAACACCTATCTCCCCTTTCTTTCATTGCTGCTGTTAAAAAAAGCAAGCAGGCAATAATATAAATAAACAAACTTAATATTTAAACTGCCACTTTGCTTGACRTACACTTGCTGAATTCTAAAGCACACTCATCCCTTATCAACAGGTTTCTTGACAGAGTTAAACCAATCCAACTGCAGGAGACAACCCCTCCACAGACAAGCTAGTACAAAGTTGTTCCTCTCCTCCATCATACCATCAATTATCTACATTCTCCACAGTTTCAACAAATCAGAAGTAACTGTACCTTAATAACCAGCATGTCTATCACCCGTGGATCCGTAACGTGGGCATTCTTCATGAACATTTCCCGCACCTTGTTWCGCCCCTGTTTCACCGTGATGTCCAGCTGGTACAGGTGCACTAAGAGAAACACAACACCTACTGCGGTCATCCACGTCCCTCTGCACTTTTTCCACCGGCAAGGTGCAACTCARCCTAACAAATCCCTACACGATCATTCGTTCGTGCGACGCCCGCCGGCTTCACCAATGTCATTCCGACCTTGAGCCCGCGCGGCAGGCCCCGCGTCCCTCACCCACCCGTGTTGGGCACCTCGCGGTACCAGGCCCGGTACAGCTCCCTGACGCGCCGCTTCGCCTCGCCCAGGTCTCGGCTGAAGATCGGCTTCACGGCGGCCGACACTCCTTTCCCCGCCACCGCCATCTTGCTGCCGCCGCCGCTTCCCCCGCCGCCCGCGGCTACGCGCAGGGCACGGCACCTTCTCCTATTGGCCGGCTGAGCTGCCACTCTAGCCTTCAGGCCGCACGGCCTTCCACTCGATTGGTCAAGRCACACGCCAATCACTGCTGTTTATGGAGGGGGTGCGATCAATGATGGGCGTGGCCGTGCCTGGTCCCGCCTCCCGAGGCCGTCGGGCCCGCCCCGCCCCTCAGAGCCTGYTCCGCCCTCAGGGCCCGGCTCGGGCTGGGATTTGGAACGAGCTATTTGTTTCCTTTGCTCCCGAAACGCCGCAATCGGACGGTGTTTGCTCGTGCAGCTGGACTTCCTCTCAGTGCACTCTTGCATGCTAGCAAGATAGCCCCTACTCTAGCTACACCCATGTTTTTATCCAAATGCACCAATGCCGGGACCTTCTGTGAAGTTAAATTCTCTTTAAACACTGTTAGGTATGTGCCGGCCACGACAGACCCAAACACGTTCAGTTCAGTGTCATTGAACAGACAGAMAAGTAACACTGAAAGGATATTGAAAGACCCAGGTGTGGTGCTGGGGAAAAGGAGAGAGATTTCGGGCGAGTATCAGAGGCAGTAGCACAGCAGGACTGAAGCAATTACAACGAGGAGGGGCAAGAAAGAACATTTCACATAATTTTTATTCTTTCAAGTTATTTTGTAGATGAAAAGCATAAATGTGCAGTTCTGTTGAAATTAATCTTAATTATGTTAATATTTGCATAATTCAAGCTTTCATAGCTTCCAAAATTACTATTACACAAAATTACTAGTGCACACATGCACGCGATCTCAGATTTTTTTTTTTTTTTAGTGGTGGTTATACATAGGCGCTCCTTTGTGCTATCGTCTTTTTAGATGTGCTAAGGCAGCTACTACTAATTTAAACATCAAAATATTTTTATATCTTACAAAACAGTTTKTCAGGAATATTGCAGGAAGAAAGAGAAAGGTAACTCTGAAACCTCTGTCCATACAGTTTCAAACAGTATAATTCCATCCCTTTGTGAGTTCCAAATCTGCCCAAGAGCTGACTTTATGTAATGCGAAAAAATTTTAGAAGTTTTAATTAGAGGAGATAGTAAATCTAAACAACAGGATTTCTCTTTAAATGTATTTATAGAAATTTCTGTATTTCACAAATTACTTTCTTTTGTGGCTGAAACACCATCTGGATTATTTATGTACTCTTTGGTATTTCCTCTTACTGAAGTCATAGTATGGCATAAGGGTTGTCAGGATTAAAAACTTACTTTCTTTGAAGCTACAAATTAAAACAACACAATATTTGTGCAACAACAGGAGAATGTAATAAACAGGATGGAATGAAGAGGACATACATGTCTTAGAAGGTAAGATTTTTCAKGAGCACTACTCTGAAACTACATTTAAATGTCACCTTGTTGAAGCTGAAGCCCTCTTGTCTGATTCGAGATCCACAACTAGAATTAAGCTAAACAAGATAYTGGGCTAGATCCTTACTTTACACAGATGTGGCCTTCTGCACAGACTTGAGATGGAATCCAGCATGATCTTGCCTAGACCTGCAATGTTTCTGACAGAATTCAGGTGGGTAATGATCTGTGAGTGAAAAGAGAGCAGTGTGCACTTTATCTTGGGAGAGCTCGCAACAGGAATGGGTGTGGGGAGTTTGTCAGTGCAAAGTGAGCATCCTGCCGTGGCTTGGGCTGGTCCTCAGGGAGCACGAAAGTGAATTTCTGCAGCAGACTGGTAAAGAAAAGAAAGAGCTCCATCCTGGCCATCTGTTCTCCYGGACAGGCACGGCGACCTGCAAGAGAGGTAGTAGAAAGTGTCTGTCAAAGAGGGCAATACTCCAATCCATGCTGGAATGGTCGCAGCGGGGAGCAGATCACTCTCCTGCTGTGCTTCTGACTTGCAGCCAGATTCTCCCCTCAGTTTTACCTGCTGAGAAGGGCAGGAAGGCCTCTGGTTTCACAAATTTCCCGTTCACATCCAGGAAGTGTTCAGGGTAAAACTCGTGTGGTTTCTCCCAGACTGTCTCATCCTTCAGCACGGAAGACAAGTTGGCGATGACAGTTGTCCCCTGCACTCCCCCACAAGAGGAAACAACTTAGGTGAGAACAGCAGCATTACCTTGGCACAAGGGAACAGTTTTGGTYCCTCTTTAGTCTGTGCCTCCCATCTAATAAGCAGCTATTGTTTGGTGCCTCATCATAAGGCACTCATTTCCACTTCTACATCTTATTTCAAGCAGAGGCAAAGCAGGGCCCTYTTCCAATGGCATATAGTGCCTGCCCTACACTCTGAAGCATCTGAACTTTTGCAATTKGTATCCTTATGAAGGCTGTTGCATGCAAATAACAATTTCATGGTTACACAGTGGAAACAGCTTTTGCTTCTCATATCCTCCTGGACTTGTTTTATAGCAGCAGAGAAAAAGCTGACTGACAGCCTTCAAAGCCCAACTTTCACAGGGACCATGGAAAATAAAAAAGCTTTCCTGTTTCACATGTCAAGGTTCTAAACCAGAGGAGATACCACAAGGCTACCAAAAAAACCCAAAACCCCCCCCCCAAAAAAAATTCCCAGTCTTGAATTCTGCCCCTGCTGCCAGGGCAGTCACAGTGGAACTGGTCTGAATGACAATGGCACTTGAGTAGCTTCAGAGGTTAGATTTTAACTACTACCATCTCAGGAAAGCCGGCAAGCTGGTGTTGAATGCCTCYAGAGAGCCTGTTAGGCTACTTCCAACACAGGCAGTGAATATCACAGCTCACTGAGAGGAAAGGAAACCTTTACACTCATCTGTCATTGCAGCCGGGCTTCAATACAATAAGCATAAGCCTAGAGCACAAATATGACCATCTGCCTGAATTTAGCATTTCAAAATGTCCTATTTCAGGGCTCAACAGTGACTGTAACTGGGGCTGGACGTGCAAGACTGCCGAGTTAGATAGGATCATCCCCACCCCATGCGTGGCATCTACAGAAGGAGAGGATGCTGCATTGCTTATCTGGTCACAGTCACCTTGGGAATAAAGTAGCCTTGCAGCTTGGTGTCCCGGTATGTCATATGAGGTAGCGCAACAGGAGCAACATCACCGCAGCGCTGCACTTCATGGATCACAGCATTAGTGTAAGGCATGCTTGCTTGRTCGTTCATACTGGGGGGTCTCTCTCTGCCAATCACCTCATCAATCTCTGCCTGGACCTTCTCTGAAAGCAGAACAGATAAGGAATTAGAGGACCTTTAGATAACCAGAAGAGACTAGCACAAGCTGAAGACTGGCTGCATGAGATTGTAGACACTGCAACAGCAGGACATGCAATTAAGAGACAGGAACAGAAACTAGATGGGAAGGCCTTTTTCAGTTCACCAGTCTCTGTATAACTATTTTTTACTCACAGTAAAAAATAAATAACTTTCATAAAGGCCTTGCCACTTGACATGCTACCTTACTGTATTCAGCTTGAAGACTACCTGGCCAAGCACCATTAGAGAATTTAAACCCATCAGCATTTACTCCAAATACTGGAAGAGGGTACACTGACTACTGCAAATCCTCAGGTGAAGCTCTCAAAATGAAGGCGAGAGTGAACTTGCCCTTCCAACTCCAATCTTTTTATCAGGGCTTCCCTCCCCTTCCCCATCAGAACAACTGTTTGGGAAATGTTTTTCCAGGTTTTTGCTAGACCAACAATCACCATAGCTGTTCTCATTGCAAAATCCCCGAACCATAGAGAGATGTTCAGCCTCCTTGCACAAAAATGARTCTTCAAGGAAAGAGGCCACCCTTCTGTAAGTTTCTGACTTACTCTGTATTTCTGGGTGGAGAAGCATATACAGCAGTCCCCACCGGAGAGTGGTGGAAGTGGTTTCAAAACCAGCTGTAAACAAGTCTGCGACCACCAGACGAAGGTTGCTATAGTGGAAACCGTTCTCTTCAGCTTCCTTACCCTGTGGAGAGCAAACAACTGGGTTACTGGAGCTGGGGTATTTGCTGGAAGACCACTGTCCAGAGAAGTACTGAGAAGCACTAGATCCATATTTGTGTGCATGTTCCTGTTTTTCATTGGGAGAGTAGAGCACAACACAGGCAACAGTCAAAGCATGACTGATGTACTTTACAACTCTGTTACCTCCTGTATTTGAAGGTCCTCAACCACCTCCAATATATTCCAAGAAGAGTGCTACACCTGCCTTCAGGACAGAAGTGAACACCTTGTGCTCTCAGCTCAAACAGACAGCAAGCCCCTGCCACTTGCCACAACATCTTCCCCCAGAGGACGTGGAACACAGTTATTCAGGTTCGATAAGATGATAAAGAGATCAGATTATAGAGGAGAGTAGAGAGGAGGCTGCATTGATGTGGCAAATGCAAAATTAGCATTATTTTGAGGGAGTTATCTAGCTATGCATTGCAGATTCTCACTGCTCTTGCCCTGACATTTTCTTACAACTGGGAAAAAAAATCCCAGTCAGGATATTATTGCTGCCTATTAAGTCTGCAACACCACTTTCAGCAAAACTGGTCTCTCATCCAAATGCTAATTGAGCTCAAATTTGTTAGCATATGAGATATGACAAGTTCTCTGCATGAGTGAATCTGCTTGTCTTTTCTAATCCTCTTTATACTTCGCTTTCTTAGGGACTAGCTTCTGTTAAGTTATTCTTATGCTGTAATATGGATAGCAATTAATAATGCATTTAACACTCAACTGTTATTCCAATAAAAGATCTCAGACAAGGGAGTTTGAGACTGACTTGGCCAAAGTTAACTGAGGTGAGGGATTTATCAGACTGGCTTATCAGGTGACCTTAGAGAACAGAAGAGATGTGACAAGATGCATCATGGTCAGGCTCACATCCATCCCCTAGCTGTACTGCTCAGTGCAGAGTAATGTGGGTCATGTGCTCTGCCCATGTGAGCTGCAGAGGCAACACATGGGCTGGAAGTGCCCAACAACCACAGCATGGCAGGGTTTGTTGTGCAGAGCAGCAGTCCAGCCTGAGGACTTGGATGATGGAAGCAATTTGCAAGCAGCATTTGCTTATGTTGCTCATCTGGCACTTGAAGTTTAGCGACTCCACATGCAGAAACATATGGTGGATGGATAGACTCATACAAATGTCTTTGCTTTTGTACTGACTTTGTGCCTGACTGAATAGAGGGAAAGACTCCTTTTAATTTCAGTGAAGTTCAGATTTAGGCCTTCCTCTGGTATCTAGGGAACAAGTTCTTAGCAAGAAATTCAAAGGAAACACTGTAGTTTCAAGTCATAACTTGGTTTAAAGACAGGCTACGGATGGGACAATGACACCAAAAAGCCAGTCTGTTGCTCCAGTTTTGTAACTGATTTTGAGGCATCAGTCATTGAGGCACTGACATTACACAAATCTTGCACGTTGACTTGTTCCCTGGTGCAAACTTAGGACTCAATCATTGTGTTTTAAAAGCCTTCAAATTGTTGTAGGCTGGAAAGAAGGAAGTTGCTAGGTTCTGAAGGAAATGTGAAGGTAAAAAATAGAAACAAGAATATCAGCAGATAACAGGATGTCTTAAGACAATAAAAGAAGTTATGGCATGAAGAACATCTTCCTTCTCAAGATACAACGTGAAATGAAAAAAAGTAGGAAATGACTTGGTAAGAGGTTTTATTCACCTCTATGAGGAAAGTCAGCTTCACAAGCTTGAACAGGCAAAGAAACTGCCCCAAAGAAACTGCTCCAGAGAGTCTGCTGGTGTCACCCTACCTTCTCCATTTCCTTTAAAAACACATCGGTGAAATCTCGTGTGTCAGCAGGGTCCCAGGTCTTCATATGCTTAGCTATGAGCCCATCTAGGAAGTCCATTACCTCCTTTTGTGCTCGAAAGACTTTTTGTGGTAGTCCAGGGATGCGCATCAAAATGGGCACCACATTCAGAAGCTGGGGTGTGAGAACCAGAGAGAGAAAGAAAGAGAGAGAAGGTATTATGTGATGCRAAAAAGAAAAATTATGGAAACCACAGTTCTCTCAAGCAATAGAGGACAGCTTGTGGTTTACCGTAGCCAGGAATCCAGTTTCCTCTTTCAGGGAATTTTTAAGCAACTGTGACATCTTCTTGAATGTCTCATCACCATAGTTGAAACGCTCTCCGAAGACAATGGCGTAGATCATGTTGCAGACTGCATTATTTAGAAGAACATGTATATCAAAAGCTTTACCTGAAAATGGAAATGGAGACCAACAATGAAGCTCACCAACACCAAGTTGCTGGATGTCATCTGTCAGCAATGAGAATACACAAATGCCTYCTTGATGTCACCAGGAGAAAAAGCCCCCAAACCACTCAAAGCGTCATACYAGGAGGTGAAGATCATCTCATTCTTACTAATAGTTGGTTGATCTGTGTGTTTAAAGGAGAAAAGTCTCAAGAAAAGCTGAGTTGCAGGGTTGTTCTGTGACTTGATGGTAACACTTTGTTCTGTGTCTAGATGACAGGCTGTGAACTCTCAGCTGCACTTTTATTGCATATGATAATATCAATATGTTCCACTAAATTTCAGGTTAAAGGTAAAGGTTAAAGTTACTCAGCTCTGGGAATAATTCTATTTTATCTCTCTATTTCTAATTTTCTATTTGTTTACTATTTTAAATGGATTAGTTACAGTAGCCCCACTGTATAACACACAAGTGGCTGCAAGGAATGCATATAGACTAGAAAAACTGCATTGACATGAGAAGAGAGCACTGCATGCAAACAAGACTGGCAAACAAGAGAAGTAGTATTACTTCTCTCTGCATCACTGTATTCCCCTTTTCTGTGATTTCCCCATCCTTGTGGATGTCACAAACCTTCTTTAGACTTGACTTCAGAACAAAGAAATCCAGCTTCCTCTACCACTTGCTCCTCCAAGGTTTTCTTTCCCATCCCGAAGTCCCTCAGGGTAGAGAGTGTAAATCTCCTTAGCTCCTTCCATTCATGCCCGTACCTTGATGTAGAAATCCCTGGAATTGTGGATGAGCAAGAAATGTGAGATATCTGACTTGTACATTRAACAAATTTTGCTAGAGAACACCAATTGTGAGTCTGAAGGTACAGGTCTGTGTGAATAGATGAAACAGTCAGACCTTGTGCAGCTTGTTCATACAGTAATTCTGAAATGGATCACTGCACCTTCTAATAACTGTGCATGGCTAGCAAAGGCATGGGGGGATTCAATGGGAGGAACAAGAGCTGCTAGGGATAAAGGAACCACTCCTTCAAACCATTCAGCACTGTTCCCATAGATTGTGTGAACTGGGAAGCAGCTTGTGCCACTGCACAGGAGCTGAGGATGTGAWGTGGGCAGGATGCTGGATAATACCCTGTCTTGAATCAAAGTCACCATATTTTTTTGCGACAACTTGCAAGTAATGTTTTGCATAAGCATTTTGTTTTACATTAGCGCCATAAGCAATAATCAGTGGATGCTGGGAGCTGGAAAGAAAGTTGTACCACTCATAGCATCCTTACACAGCTAAAGAGGTGTGTGCTTGCTGGAGCTGTACTACAACCACTAAGGGGAGCCCACATTTAATCAAATCCAAGTCTGTTGCCACCAAAGGGTGCCAGACACACAAGGAGGTTGACAGGGGGACATGAGAAGGTGCACCAAACTGAATCTTGCCTCTACCCAATTCTCCTCATGCTAATGCCAGAAAGGAATGTCCATTTGCATGGGACTTGCCTTGAGAATTCTTTCCATAGCCCATATGTTCATACATTGGAAAGTATGGCCGGTCAGCAAAGTCCTCCGATTTGTGGACCAGGGCTTCCTTCAATGTTTTATACCCATTCAGCACTACCACGTTGGTCCAGCAGTTCTGGAGACTGAAGATGTTTCCAAACTTTTTCTGAAGCTGCCAAGATAAAAAAAAGCATGTCCCTAAAAACAAGCTGAGTGTAACATCAGAAATATTACCATATACTTCCTTAGGGCCTTTACTTTTTAGTGATCTTTGAGGTGCTTTTATTCAGAGATCTTCAGCAGTGCAACAGCTCAGAGCAGTGCCATGCAGCAGCTGAAGCAGGAATCAATACTCTRTAAGTAGAAAAATTTAGAATATGCCTATCCTGGCCAAATTGTTACCATGAACATAGTGCAAGTACTTTTGATTTTGTCAAGAACATTTTTGGGGATTTTCAAAGACTGAGTGACCAATAATTAATTATTTGCTAATATTTCTATTTATTTTGATCTGAAAGACTAAGTACGTTTTGAGTTAGTCTACTTCTACTGAAGGAAATATTGATGATAAGGTGATACATAATTTCTTTTTAAAGATGCGTATGTTCCTAAAGCTCTATTCAGAGCCAGGTTTCCAGAAACTTGTTCAGAAAAGGCAATTCCACACTGGAGTTTCAGGTTAACTTTCCCTAAAAAGAGTGTACATATCTAGTATGACTGGTAACTGGCACACACCCTACACCTGCTGTAACCTGTAAGCAACATAATGCTGTCATAGCTGCACAGGTAATCATGTCAGCCATACACTCACCATGGGAGTTGGCCATGAAGCGAAGTTTTCTCCAAGTAGACAAGCCCTTTAAACAGACATAGACTCCGGGGAAGGCAGGTCAAAGCTCCCCTGCTACTTAGGAACACTGAACAAAGCTCAGGAGCATGTTGCTCAGAGAAAGTGCAGTAGTAGCATTGCCCCACAGTTTTCTCTTTTTTCCTATTTTTTTTTTTTTTTTTTGGTTAAAAGGCTAAGATTCTTCATTTCTGCACTGCAGCAGAATTGCAAGGAATTGAAGTACTTAATACAGTGTTTGCACGACGACTGACTGAAAAGGGAATTAGCACTTCACTGGCACTAGAAATACTTCATTAAAAATGATTACTAGTCAAGATTGTGGCTAGCATGACCTGGACATGATATGAATTGAAAATGGTAAACTTTTGGACTACCTGCAAGCACGTAATATAAATGCTATATTTAGYTTCTTCATTTGGCAGGTTTTGGACAGACAGCTGAACAGCACTGTCCTAGAAAAGAGGCCTTTAGAGTTTGCAAGCTGAAGCACAAAACCCCTGTGGTTTATCTGCTGCAAGCTGTGCTGTGCTTTTCCTTTGAGAAAAGCTAAGCCCTGACTTTGAATAGGAACRCCGAGATTTTGGGCACAAGCTGATCTCTTTAACTGAAACTGTCACATGCCTACACGCATGCTTTAGTACCTCACAGGGAAGCCTGCCATTCCTGCAGCCACATTACCAGCCTGAAATCCTTGTTTGTCTTCCCTTGTTTATACAACCCCTGTTCCTTTGCCCCCAAGCTGGTCACCAGCTCTACAGCATCTACCTATCACCAGGGGCACAGTGGTGTATCCCACTGAGCTCACAGAGAGATGGGGATATGGAGATTGGTAAGTGTTGGTGTGGGATTATATCTTCATCTGTGCAGGCCAGGTCAGTGTCCTTAGGCAGTGACTTGCTTCATCCTGGACTGTGGAGAGGGCATTGCCCTTCGGCTTTGTGCAAGGGTAGTGATACTGAAATTGGCCAAAAATAAACTTTCTAACACAATTTAAAGTACTAGAAAGCAGACATTCTTTACTGCAGCACTGGACTTCTCTAACAGAATGTGTTATGAAACTTTACAAGATGGTATTTATTCCATCATTACCATACACATTCATTGCAATGTGCTTCCTAGCTCAGACAAACATCACATTTCCTAGGACTAATCTGCATGCATCTGCTTTCTACTAGAAGTTCTTTTGTGGTCCTAGAGGGTCATCTAAAGGTGTCTCTGGGGTGGTACTCACTGAGTGCTTCAATATTACAGGTGACCTTTCCTTTAACTTTTCCTTTGGGCTTGTGCTGTTGTCTCTTGTTATATAATGTGCCAAAAACTCCATTATATTCTTCATCATCTGTTTATCCACCATTTCCAGCTACATATATAATCCTGTGTGCATACTTTTACATTTTCTTTTATCTTTTTTGCTAGTAAATCTTTAAGCTCAATCTAGAAACTTCAGGGGAACTGAAAATTCCTATCCTCTGTGTAATGTATCAGTGGCTGATGACMGGGTGTGACCCACCCCTCCTGGGCCCGTGGTGGATTGCCTGCGGAGTGTTTCTCTGCAGGGGCTGGCACTCACCTGACTGAAGGAGAAGTGGGGGTTGCGGAAGTCGATGGAGAACATGGTCCCGATGAATGGCAGCGATGCTGGGCCTGGCGGGTAATGGCTCCACTTCTTTCTGCGCTTCATGAAGTCAATCAGTAAAGTAAAAGCTGTAAGAAAAACTGCCAGCATGGAGACGTTGCTCCAGAGGGATGACAGCTGGGACCCCAGCCACAGGAGCAACGCCATTTTGTAGCCTGTCTACTCCTTGTCTTCTTCTTTTGACCCAACGCTGTTTCTGCCTCCTTTTGACTTTTCTCCTCTCTTTCACTTTCTTGCCCAGACAGTCACCCCTTTCTCTTTGTTTTCTCCTCTTCCCTCACTGTCTTTTTTTTTTTTTTTTTTTTGCTGCTCCTCTCTCCCTGCACTTCCGGGCCTCTGAACGTTAAGCTTGGCTCAAACTGTAAACTCCTCCTCTGCCCAGTGCAGCCCTAGGGGAGTGGTTTATGAGGGTCATTCCTCCTTCCTCCTCCCCCTCCTATTACTCCAAAGCCAGAGCTCAGAGGTCTCTCTGTTGCTGCTGAAAGTGGTAGCTCTTGCCAATGATGCCCTCAGTAGGGCAGGACTGGCTGACTTCTACGTGTTTGTTTTCTTCTCCCACAGCCAAGGAGAACTTAATAAAAAGTAACCAGTCCTGCTGCATTCTCATGGGGTGATTTGGAAAGAGTTTGTTTAAAAGTGTGTCACTTTCTTGTCAGTACAGGCAAGTCAAGGAAGAAACAGCTCCTAAACAYAGATCATCCAGGTCTCTGTTTGCAGGCTAAGAATAGGTTTCACAGGAACTTGAAAAACCTCAGGTTTGGTCAAATATTCCCTTACAGAAAACATTTATTACAGAAATTAGCCTAAAACAGTCACCTGAGATTTTGAAAATTATTTATGTTTCTAGGATTAAAAATTTTTATCAAACTCAAACTGTCAGTCAGCACAATGACCTCAGCTTTTGTAGAATTCCCAGCCACAAGGAAGAAATCCCATGTATTACAAGGTGCCTCAAATTTCCAGCCTTTGGGGCAGCAGTAATGCCAACACAATCACAGAGTTGGTCAAAGTACTTCCTAAAGCAGCAGAGCTGTGTGCTCCTGGCATCTCTGCCATCATAGATCAATAAACCTTGCTCTTAGGACAGTCAGCTCTAGATAGAAAGAAGTAGTAAACCTGTCACAGCTTGATCTGTGATCTCAGCATTATCAGAGAAAAACTCCTAATGGAGCAGTTGCTGTAAGAGTGATGGAAAGCTCAGGCTACAAAGCGATGATGAACCTGCAAATGCTGTGCAGGTGGTGCTGATGTGCAGCCAGGACCTCAAATGGCCCTTCCCCTGGGAGGGGAGGCACCTCAGAACTCATTATCTGTGCGCTGAGATTACCTTGCTGAAGCCTCTACAGCAGAATCCTGCTTTGAAAGCATCATGACTAAGGGTTCAGGTTCAAGTAATTGTTAACAAACATGTAGAATGGAAAACAACTGGGGGAATTACCAGCCCACTGACRACTGCAGAATCGTGATTTCTTTTGAGTTAAAGAGGCACGCCAGGATTGTTCATGTTCCTGGAGAGCTGCCACAGATGGGCCTGTGTCTTCAGCACAGGCTGGAAACAGTGAGGAGTGGTGTGCATAGAAAAGAACCCAGACCTTAGCCATGGGAGAGCTGAGGGGCCAGTTGAGTGCCTGTGGACAAGGAGAAGGTGGCAAAGCTCCATGGGCAATGTTCTGCAAGGCACTCATTGCAGGCTTCTTGACAAAGGGGAAGTCAAAAGAGCCATCCCACACGATTGCAGGCCTTAGGACTAATTCACGAGTGCTTTAACTGGAAGGGCTGCATGGTCAGGCATAGGTGGTTTCTCAAGCATGCCCAAGATAGTTTCGTGACACAGGTAATTGATAAGACAGCTGCAGGAGATGCTGTGCTGGGTTTGCTGTTCACAAAATAGGAAGAATTGGTTCAGGTTATGATAATCAAGGGTAAGTTTGCCTGCAGCAACCATGAAACTGTGAAATATTAACCCTGCAAGAAATCATCGGTACAAATAGCATTACTGCCCTTGCCTTCAGGGGAGCAGATTTCACTTCATTTAGGGATCTCCCTAGCAGGATCCCAAAGGAAACTGCTCTGGAGAGTAAAGGGGCCCAGGGGAGCTGGTTGTTCTTCGAGGGCACCTCCTCAAAGTGTGAGATCAGTGCATCTCATTTATTTCCTTGACACTATAAAGCCTTTAACACCAGTTTCTAYAGTATCCTTGTAGCTAAATCAATGATATACAGACTGGCAAGGTAGATRATAAAGCAGGTGAATGATCATTCAGATTGTGGGGCTGAAAAAGTGGGATCAGCAGTACGGAGTCCAGCTGATAAGAYGATCACTAGTGACATTCCTTAGGTATCTATGCTGGGACTGATAAAGTTTAGATTATTAACAACATGGCTGATGGGACAGAGGKCACTCTTGGCAAGTGCAGCCTGGAAGAGCTATTGCTGAAGTACATTTGCAGAGTAGCCTGGTAGWTTGTTGGCTTTTGAGTATCTGCCACATTTTAAAGAGTTCTAGCGTGAGGTCTCAGGAGACAGAGCTGCAGCAGCTTCCTACTCAGTGGACTGGTTTGAGCAGGAGATGGTTGAATGATAAAAGGCAAGCAAGGGCTTCCTCCCACATTGTTTTTCATGATCCATGCACTCAGATGATAAGTAAAAAGATGGGAAATATGGTCCCAAGAATGTCAGTGGACATTTCCTGATCATCCCACCAGTAAAARGAAGTTACCTTGCCTTTTGAGATTGACCTCTGTCAACTTCAGCTGAAAAATATGCACCTGGGTCCTTTCAGCTTTGCTTACCTTGGCTGCTAGAGCCAAAGGCTGTCAGACTCCCATCATTCACCTGTGGGCTTTAACAAGGCTGGTTGATCAGAATTCAGGAAGTGGATTTAATTTTAATGAAATAGGAACTCTCCAGCTTCTCTGCTTCTGGTGGTTCACCTTGACATAAAGTGACAAAGCTGCAACCTGAGAAATGCATCAGCTAAAGAAAATGAAATCCCTACACTGACACAGACAGTTTGTATCTTTCCAAAAAGTCACGTGGTAAATGATCCTTTCCTGCAAACTTGACATCTCTTCCACTTTTGGCTAGTAGCATGGACTGCCAGTTCTGCAAAGGAGTGGAACAAGTGCTATAGCTTTGTAATTTCAAAAGAACAGTTTCAAAGCCAGCAAAGAAACAATAGACAACAAATCTCTTTCTGAGAGAAAGAGAAAAGGGTAATTATTCTTCTGAAGAATGAAAGGTGTTCATTTGCATTTCTTTTCAATAAAGTAATATTTTGAGCAATTTTCAAGTCAGGGAAAAAACCTTCCAAATCCATACATATTAATTTTAGCTAGCTACTTACACCCTGTGCTGGTTGCATGTCTTTGTGCATAGTCAATTAAGAGATGAGCTAAGTGAAATTACAGAAATTGCATGCAGACATCACCATTCCTTGACTGAAGATAGTGAAATACAAACACAAAGACAGGTTTAAGAAAAAGACCAATTAATATTGCAAAACAACACTAATATAAGATTATTATCTTATTATAATCATATAATGCAGGAGTTGCCTTTTTTTTCTTTTAGGCAGTTTTAGTTGAGTTGTTTTGTCCGTATTGTCCGTAAGACCACATTTAATTACAATTACATGCTATATTTCCTTTTTGAAGGACCCTCCCTTTATTCAGTGCACAGAATAGATGATGATCACTTACTAATCTGGTTTTAATTACAGCATTTGTCTTCAAAGTCTATTTTGCCACTACTGTTCACACCTGACCATAAAGGTGGTTTAAATGGGCTTTTCCACAATGGTCATCAGTGCCTGCATGGGTGAGGAGCAGGCAGTCATACCCACAGCATCCCTCTGAGATGCCACCTGTGAAGGCAAATGACATTTTAAGTGCTGGTACCTGAGGGAAAAAGTCTAGAAGCTGCCACACACATCTGCCCAGGACCCGTGCCCAGCTCCCAGCTGAGGCTGAAAGCAGTTTCTGCAGATCTTCCTGTGGGATCACACCTTTGGCACCCTGGACACGCAGGTCACAGATTAGTGCCTGTTCATGAAAACTTCGGTTTCAGTAATTTCTCAGCATCACATAGTCCTCTCTCCATAGAGGTGCAGTGAAAACTTTCCAATGGCTAAAGAAACACTCTTCCTTCCCTCCCTCTTTTCTTCAAGCCTGGAGCAAGCCAGGAAGCACTGGTCACATAGCACGAAATGTTCTGTGAGCTTTCAGAATTTTTTTGTCCAAGTTCCAGCAGACTGACTGCTTTCCCCTTAACACCTCAGCTGTAGATGGACCCAAACCTCAGCAATTTCTCATTCTGGAGTAGCAAAGCTTCTTGGAACAACAATGGTTAGTGTGAAGCCTGCTGCTCTCATTCCCTGGCTGTCCATCTCTCGGGCTACAGCAGACCTGGGGCTGGAGAAGACCCCAGAAACCTTTCCTCTTTGCTGGCCTCTTCTCGGCACAGAAAACACAGTCTCCYGCCCAGTCCCAGATTTTTTTGGTCCTTCCTCCACCTCCTTTTTTCAGCCCACGAGCTCTCTTTTGCATGTTTTGCCTTCACTCGGATGGCCTCTCCCCCTGACCATTTTGTGCATGGCAGAGACCAGCTTCACACTTGTCATTCGCCCTCAGCAGCCCCTGGCAGCCAGCAATAMCCACCACCTGCTCTGATCAGACATCTTGGGGGAATTTCAGATGGAAAACTGAGAGCTCTATCAAGCGCATGCAAACTGGGTTTTCAAGTGCTTGTAACGTAGCCAAGTTTGAGCACAGTTTTAGAGAGCTGGTGCAATGTGTCTTCCTAACAGAAAACTGCCTCCTGCCAAATTTCGCATGTAATGCTTCAAAGCATTAAACTGAGAAAGGAAAATATCACCAGAAATTTTTCTAATGGGTTAGGAGAAGGTCAGATAAACAATGGATTTCTAAGAACTATGTCAGCCATTAGAAAGGGATTAAAAAATTTTTGGCTGAATGTTCCCAAACAAATTTAGCCTGAAGCATAACCCCAGCTCAAGAAATTTTAGTCTCAGCTGGTTCATTGTGACTTTCTTGGCCTTCAGATGGGAGTTTTAAACACTGGAAGTACTTCTACAGCCTTAAGATGGACTGTGCTAACAGCTTGTTCATAATAAAGCAGTCAGCAGAACTGAAATAGCCAAGTCTTTCATAGTTACTGTTACTATGACTTACTGCCAACCTTCCCACATTGCAAAGAAATCTGTTCATCAGGCTTTTCTTCCTTAAATTCCCCATGGCTTCCTCCCTTTTTTCCTATATCGATCACACCAGGTCACTTTTCACCAAAGTGTGTTGTAGCTGGAGCTTACTTCTTTCACCCATCCCCTCCCAAGCAATTTCCTCTCACGCCATCCCATCCCCTTATGTGTCCCTTCCCTTGAAAAAGCAATGACTCTGAACTTGGCACTGAAAGCAAAGCATG